AAAAAATGAATTAATTTGAAAATAAATGTGAAATCCCCCTTCTAGAATGCCCTTGTTACTTGCCCTTGTCTACTTTCTTTCTTTTCAACTTTCACAATCATCTCATGTATCATTCAAGAAGTAGGTGCTACAAAATCATGTTGGTTTAGTGATTTAAATACAATAAAAATGATTCATGTGATTTATATAAAAAAAAAATCAGGTACATTTCAATCTTTTTGAAGGTCCTGTTATATTCAAAATTATTGATTATATTGTATAAATGAGATAACAAAGAATATATGTTAAGAACAAAAATGAGTTAAATCTAAAACGATTAACAATTTGAAACTAAACCTAAACCATTAATGATTTGAACCTAAAACCAAACAATTAATGGTTTGAACCTAAATAATTTCGGCTATAGTTTTACACAGGTCGATAAAAGATCCTAAACACATGTAAATTTGGACCCCAAATTTTCGAAACTGTTTAAATTCTCATATTTAACATGCTAAGGGATGCCGAAAAAACTTCACTTCCAGACTTAAAAACGTTGAAATTCACAATTTTGAGCTGGGTTATGAATTTGATGCTATACATATTATGCTTTTTGAAAAATCAATGCCATTTTGTGTATAGTAATTTTTATTATTAAAGGGACTTTTCTTTTTCTTATTAATAATTATCTGAAATAAGATAGTTAAAAAAGTATGTTTGGTATAACGATATGTGAGTCATTGGTTTCCTAGTAAGTCAAGGGTTCAAACCACAACAAAGGTGAGAATGATGCGTGAGTTTATTTGTTCTATTTACCATATATAAAAATTACAAACTTCAAAAAAAAGATAGTTAAACATGGACAACAATGTCTGTTTATCCAAATCAAACATTTTTAGTTAGGGGTGGTTTGCTTACTGAATCATTAAGAGGTGAATCTTATTTGACAAAATTGATTTTCCCCTAAATCAAACCGCATTGAATTTCTCCTCAAGTCAAACTGCAATTTTACCAACTTTTGCTCCACTTTAAAAATGCATCCGTTTAAAGAAATTATTGGGTCCGCTTCACAACAACCATAACTTTGTAAGAAATCTTACGAGTCATTTAAAAATACCTGAAAAATTGCTAATAGATTGATTAGCTCCATAAAAAGTCGATCTATTTGATGAAAAGACCTTTCTCGACCTGATTCAAAGGATCTAGACAATAACGTCTTGATCAAAAGTAAGTCGGGCCGAATCTTATCAATATCTATCATCATATGTTAAAACAAGTTTCTTGGAATTGACATGTATGAACGTCTAGAATTCTAGAATCTATTAGAGTTCAGTAATTTTATTTATTTTTATAATAATTGTCTTGTGATTGTATCTAATTACTTAAAGTCTAAATAATTATATACGATTACAAGAAAAGTATTATTAAATATATAAATAAATAACAAAATTACCAATTTATTTAGGGATCGTTTACCAAATACAATAAAATTTAGCACTATTATTTACCTACCGAGTAAGATTTTAGTCCACCAAAACGATATCACATGCAACAATTTACTCGGTAAGCGCTTACCATGGTAAGAGTCGTCGCCCTCACTTACAATTTATTTTCTGAATATTTAGAGGGTGTTTAAGATTGCTTATTTGAAACAACTTATGTTTTTCTACAAAAACACTTATCAACTTATTATAAGTCAGAAAGGTTTAACGTATTCAAAAACTCCTTATTACCGGTTTGACACCGGTATAAGTTGTTTATCCAAACATTTAAAAATATTTATTATTGGTGTCACACCGGAATAAGTCAATAAGTTATTCTTATAAGCAATTCCAAACACCCCCTTAATGTCCTATAATCACAATTAATAGGCACATCCAAACAACCGTAACATGTGTGTGAAAATCTGATTGAAAAAAATTCAGGAAAACCTAACGAACTATACCATTTTGAATGGTTAAGTTATTTAAATATTTTTTAAATGAAAAAAATCATTAAACTTTCTTATTTTAAATGATTAACTCCTGAACGTTTTCTTTCAATAAAATAAATCATCGAACTTTTAAAAATTGATTACTTACATCATTTTAACCAAAAACAAAATGACATGTAACAGAGTAGAAAAGTCTTAGAGTACAACTACTTTTAACCTCCTAAAACTAGATCAAAAAGAGGGAGATCGATGACATTGTTCCAACAACGTAATAGCCGATACGAAGAACGGATGATGATGGGGCAACAGGGAGTGGCGAGAGGGTGTGATATCGTTGTTTGCTAGGAGTTTGAAGGCCATAGGATTCGAGAATGGTAAGACTGATTAAATTTTTTTTTTTACTTTAAGACTTTTCTAGTCGGTTACAAGTAGTTTTTTACTGTTAAAAGTTAGATGGTTTATTTATTACAAAAAAATGTTCAGAGACTTAATCATTTAAAACAAAAAAATTAAATGGTTGTTTCATTCGAAAAAATAGTTTATAAACTTAATTATTTAGATTTTCATGAACTTTTTTCTTTTATATATTATTATATTTTTAAAGAAACTCCAAAATTATATTTAGCATAAAATATAGGCCTAGTCCCACTTGACCCAATGGACCGAACATGTGGGTACAATACATGATCAATAAACCTAACCAATTCCTAATCAGACTTGACTCATGGAGTCATGGTCCCAAACATTTTGGACCCAATATCGAACCGGATTTGAAACACGCCCCCAACTTTGGTTTTTTTTAATCAGCCTGGATATCTGATCTGCTATGCGAGCCGATTAATTTCAAGATAACTACCTGCTTTGCAGATAGCTCGGAGTCAGCGTATTTGAACCTCCGTAACCACAACAAAATTTTTATTCTTTTTTGGATTTTGAACCTGAGACCTCAAGACACTTTTGACCATTAGAGTCAAGCTCAAACCAATCATACACTATCTTCATGGTTGGTTCTTTTCTCTAATATCTCTATCTCCCAACTTAGAGATGGACCAAAAATCGATCATGGGTCGGATCATAAATCGATCATGGGTCGATACCGACAGAAAATTATAGGACCAAACGTAGGATCGGCAACTCGTCCTAGTCACAGGCTTGACCCGGTTTTAAAAAAAGTATTTTTTTAAATCTTTTAATATATAAAAGATATTATACATGTTTTTATAGTTACGATTTTGAATACATTTTAAATAATACAATTGCTTGAAATCGTGAAAAACTTAAAAGAGAACTTCAAATATTTGAACAAAGACTTGAAAATCTTGTATTTTAATTTATAGAAAAAATTGAAAAAACATGTTTTCTACATAATTGGTTGTCAGTACTGGATCGGGCCTTGAATATACATGAAACTTGTAACCGGTCCTAAACCATTGGCTAGTACTGTATAATTGTATATTTTACCCTTCAAAATAGGCAAATTGCATGAAAAAGTAACGTACTTTAACTTGATTCCTATTTTGGGTAACGTACTTTCATAACTTTCATTTTGGTACCTAAGATGTAAAGTTCTAAACATTTAAGTACCCGAGTAACTGGTTGAAGTATTAACCGAGTATCATGCTGGTGTGGCGAGTGATGTGGTATCCAACTCGGTATTATTTGCTGACGTGGATTTTTTTAAATCTAAAATTAGTCATTTTTTAATCTAAAATCAGTTTTCAACTGGTTACCCGGGTACTTAAATGTTTAAAACTTTACATTTTAGGTACCAAAATGAAAGTTCTAAAAATACGTTACCCAAAATAGGAATCAAGTTAAAGTACGTTACTTTTTCATGCAATTTGCCCTTCAAAATATTATAGTGTTAATTTTGTATACATTTATACAATTTTAAATAAATCAAGGTTAATCGATCAAGGGATGGACAAATAATAAGAGACAAATAAGAAGTTGGTTTAACTCTTAATAAATAAGAGCAGGATAAAACATAAGTGTATCTGGAAAGTTGGAAAAAAACAAACTGTGTGAATGACTCTACCTCTTATCGAATCAGACATAAAAGATTAATAAAAGTTTTTTAGAAAAAAAAACAAACAAGACCTTAGTGTTAAAACACTTGAAAAACTTCAAAAAAAAAAAAAAAACTCATAGTTTTTGGTAAAAGAAAAACTTGAAACCTTGTAGAAATCTTGAAAAACTTAATATATGATTCATAAAAACTTATATTTAAAAAAAAAAATCGAGCCTATGTATAATCGGTCCCATAACTGGTCTCGGATCGGACCGGGTCTTGAATTTTCGTAAAAACCATAACCGGTCCCGAACCGTCGACTGATAACCAGTTCCGGTTCTGAGCTGGACCGGACCCATTTTGACCATCTCTAGAAAAGAAGCGGTCCTAAACGATTCCAAAACAGAACGAACCCATTTTGACCTCTCTAAATCCCAACCAAATAATCCAAAGGATATTTATTTATAGAGTTTGGTTGTTAGCCACCAGAAACCAAATGTATGCTTTGAGTAGCTCACCTAAATTTAACTACTATTTCTATTTTCTTTTAAACATGAAAGGATTATTGGTATCCACATTAACAATAAATCGAAGTCAAAGGGTTCAAAGTTCGATAAAAATAAAAAAAATATGTATGAATTTTGACATATATGAATATTATATACTTAAAAAGATACACATGCTTAAAAATACCAACGTGGTATTTGATTGGATCTTAATAATGGACTTAACGGACTAGATGACTTAACGAGCAAGTAACACATATATGTTTGTTTCTCACTTGATAAATTTAAAACCACTAAATATTTTTCCACTACGTCGACATTGCMCCCCCCCCCCCTTCGACCTTCTTTAATCCACCGCTGCTCACTAGACCCTACTCCACCTGGGATTTATTGGATTCGGGTTTGGTTTGATTTAATTTAGTTTACTACTTACAATTGAACACTAAACCACCCTATTTGCATCTCTTTGGTGGCCAATGTTACAAAGTAGGTAACCAATACACAACATCTCCAGGGTTGACTTAGCCATGCCAAACTCCTGTATATAGATACAGAATATCTCCCCATTCTCAACCAAACCACAACTCAATCTCCTGTCTTTTTTCCACGAAAATTACATTACACAAAAACACACCAAAATCCCACAAAAACCTAAATGGCACAACATCAAACTATGCTGATCCTAGCGATCACGATGACTGTCCTCTATGGAACCGCAATGGCTCAATCATCGGGCTGCACAAGTGTGCTAATTAGCATGTCACCGTGCCTCAACTACATTTCGGGTAACTCATCAACACCATCATCAAGATGTTGCACCCAACTAGCCAGCGTGGTCCGGTCACAGCCAGAGTGCCTGTGTCAAGTCCTTAATGGTGGTGGCTCGTCTATGGGTATTAACATCAACCAGACTCAAGCTCTTGAGTTGCCTAAGGCCTGCAATGTCCAGACTCCACCAACCAGTCGATGCAATGGTAACGAAATTAATATTTCTTAGCAGCTTATCGTTCAAGTTATTTTTAGATTATACTGTAGCATCCCATCCCACATGAACAGAAAAGTAGATTTGTAAGCTCCTTATAAGTTCAAAATTGTGGGCTACCAATAACTTCCACCATGGTTTTAAGTTGATTATGAGATTATTGGGTCATTACATATCTAAACTTTTAACATCTATTTGTTTATATATGTTAAAAGAGAGGGAACTCTTATATATGACAAATACTCACACACACACTCCTCATTTTTGTTAAGATTTGAACGCTTGACCTCCTTGGAGGTCGGGCTCTACGGGTAACCCAGGTACCTTGGATCCAATGACCCTTTGACTAACCTTGAAAGTTAAATTTCAGACTAGAAAAATGTAAAATTTATCTACTTACTGTTGATTCATTGTTCTACATTTTGAAATCAACAGCATCTTCTCCAACGAACTCTCCTTCAGGAACAACACCTTCGGGTACAGGCACTCAATCGAACACTGTACCATCAACGGATAACGGTTCATCGGATGCAACCTCAACAAGATTCGCAAGCATTCCTATCGTATTTTCGCTACTTGTTGTCGCCTATAGTATGGTGTTCTAACTTATTACAGTATCCGACAACATTATGTTATTGTTTATGATTTTTCATTTGTTTTGCTTTGATTCTTACTTGTTCTTTCACAAACTGGTGAGTTTGTCAAGAAACATGGTATGTACGAAATTCTTTATACGGATACTATTGTATTGTTTTGGATATATCTGATACTTTTTATATAACATACCGGACAAGTGAGAGGTCTTGACCGATTCAATATAGCCATTTTGGCTTAACGGCTTATTGATTAAGCCGTAAAGAAATACTCCTGTATGGTTGAACGAATAAGCCGTCCAAATCATTAAACTCATTAAGTTGTAAATAAACAGCCTTTAAAAAAAAAAAAAACAATTATTCATTTACCATTTATTACATATACACGTTATATTCATACAAAACCTACAAAAATCATCAGTACTCTCATTCTTTCACAAACCATCATATAGAAGGAAGTTTAGAAAGATACAACGTTACTCGTACCATTAATGTCTTGTGATGATTACAAAATGAGATAAAAGTGATTTTGTAACAGAATTTGGTAAAAAGACGTTATGCCTATTACGAAACAAATGCCCGAAATAATAACCGACATCTTTTACCCAAACGTTCGACATGGTTCATGCAAAATTTAGGCTTTTCGGTTGGTAAACATGACCCACGAAATAACTAATAACCTATAGCCATATAAATCTCGTATTATATCACACACGACTTCTTACGATTGGATTTTTGGTAGCAAAAACATTTTATCAAAGCGTGTTTACAAGCGAAAGGTCTTCACAAAAACATTTGTACCCCTATCCAACTGAGGCCGGTCTATGAAAAATGTCCAAGCAGATCAATAAATAATTAGCATAATATAAAATAAATACCCAATTAATTACAAAAATTACGGTTTAAGTAGAAAAGGCATACAAGATTTTTTGAACACCCAAGTGGTTTTATTTTATTTTATCCTTTTTTTTATCGTCATAAAAAAATTAAAAGAAAATCAAAAGAATTGCAACCTGACCATATGACACTACCATTATACTACAACTTCTTTTTGTTAACTTAGGAGGAACTGAGGTGTAAATGATGCGAGTCGAGTTCAAGTATCATTATATTTAACTCGAACTTGAAACCCAATTTTTAAGCTCGAACTCGGCTCGACTCGAAAACTCGTGAGTAGTAAAAATTAAAGCTCGACTCAAACTCAAAAACTATTTTTCAAGGTTGAACTCGAACTCGAACTTGAATCAAGCTCAAACTTAAGCTCGAATCAAGCTTGAACTCGAACTCGAATGCGAATGAAGCTCGAACCAAGCTCACACATTGAAAATTTATGTAATTTTAGGTTCTTTCTATTATAAATTTTCAAATTTAAATGTGTTTTCTTAGTTTTTATAAAACTAAAAAAAATTAACTTCGAACTTCATCATCAAAAAAACAGTTAGAAATTTCATTCACCTCCTCCTTTTTTATAACATCTTTTCTCTCTTCATTTACCATCTCTTTTCCAACATGGGACAATCTCAGCAACCTTTATTTTATAATTTTTTTTTGTCATTTTTTAATTGTGATTTTAATAAAAAATAATTGATTAACTTTTATAATTAAAAGAATACATAATTTTGTTTAAATATCTAAAAATATAAGACATTTTTATTATTTATATTTTACAAATTCTATTATAAAAACTGGTTATATTTTAAAACTAATTATATATAAAATAATCGAGTATCTCACGAGCTTTTCGAGTCGAGTATTGGGTAGCTTGACTCGACTCGTTAATATATCGAGTCGAGCTCGAGTTCAAGCCGAGCCTATTCGAATCGAGTGTTGACCGAGCTTTGACTGAGTCGATCTCGAGTAGCTTGCAAGTTATCTCGTATCATTCATACCCCTAAGGAAAAACACACATCAAATTAAAGCATACACAAATTTAAAACCACTAAATATTTTCCCAATACGTCAACACGATTGAGCGGGTGCACGTTGCACCCCCTCCAGAGTTCTTAAATCCACCACTGCTCATAAGATCCTACTCCACCTGGAATTTACTGAGTTTGAAATTTACTGGATTCATTTGATTTAATTTAGGTTACTTCTTACAATTGGACACTAAAACACCCTATTTGCATATTTTAGGTGACCAATGTTATAAAGTAGGTAACCAATACACAACATCTCCAGGGTTGACTCAGTCATGTCAAACTCTTATATATAGATACAGAATATCTCCACATTCTCAACCAAACCAGAACTTCAATTTCCTATCATTTTTTCCACCCAAACTACATTACACAAAAACACACCAAAATCCCAGAAAAACCCAAATGGCACAACATCAAACTACGCTGATCCTAGCGATCACGATGGCTGTCCTCTATGGAACCGCAATGGCTCAATCATCGGGGTGCACAAGTGTGCTAATTAGCATGTCACCGTGCCTTAACTACATTTCCGGTAACTCATCAACACCATCCTCAGGATGTTGTACCCAACTAGCCAGCGTGGTTCGGTCACAGCCAGAGTGTCTGTGTCAAGTCCTTAATGGTGGTGGCTCGTCCATGGGTATTAACATCAACCAGACTCAGGCTCTTGAGTTGCCTAAGGCTTGCAATGTCCAGACTCCACCAACCAGTCGATGCAATGGTAACGAAATTAATATTTCTTAACAGCTTATCTTTCAAGTTCTTTTTAGAATACTAGAAGGGTACTCGTGCAATGCATCGAGACGCATTTCTATTTCAACATTTCGTTTTATTTTTTATTCATGTCGATATAATACGATTTTATATAGTTTTGAGAAAACGATAATGTTTTGTTTTTGAATAAAATATAAATTTGAAAATATCATATAAAATTTGCAAAAAAACATATTAATATTAGTATCAAATTAACTATTTAAAAGTTCTTGTTTGTATATTTTTTTAATTTAAATTTTTTATTATAATTTAATTTAACTTGACTTAGGTTTAATAATATATTTTTTATAAAGATAATAATTAAGTATTCTGTTAGAACTCAATAAATTATCCTAATTATATTTTAGATTTTTAGATTTTAAAATGAGATATTTATCATATATTTGATTATGTTTATCCGCAGTTAGTTACACGAATTCAAACATAAAGCTTTAATAAGTTGTAATTATGCACAATTTACTTGTAATCTTGAATTTTAAGTAATATGCATCAATAAACAGTACTTTATGCATAAAAATGGTTTTTAAGAGTCTTTGTCAAATGCTTTATAATATAGTATTAGATTATATTATAACAACTAACAACCCGTCCCACATGAAAAGAAAAAAAAACAGATTTGTGAGTTCCTTATAAGTTCAAAGTTTGGGTTACCAATAACTTTCAACAGTTTCTTCATTTTAGAGATTACAGTATGTATTATATTATTAAAATATTCAACTTTTTTCTTCAAAAAATATTTTTTTCTCCTATACATTTAATTTCAAATACTTTTATTGGTAGGAAGAATAAAAAATAATTTATCTTTCATCAATAATTATTTTTAGAGAGTTCTCCATATTTGGAGAATTTCACTCTCTCTCCTACTTTCTCCATTTTAGAGAAGGTTTTAGGGAATCTTTTGGAGTAAAAATCCCTAAAATCTCTATTTTTCTGAGACTTTATCTAAACTTTTAACTTCTATTTGCTTATATATGTTAAAAGAAGGGTAATTATTGTTCAACTTTGTGGTCAAAGTCAAATATTTATATACGATAAATACTCACACACAGTCCTCATTTTTTGTGAGATTTAGATCATTGACCTTCCTAGAGGTTAGGCTCTGCCAGTAACTCAGGTACTGCAGAGCCAATAACCTTGGTTAACCTTAAAAGTTGAAGTTCAGACTAAAAAAAATGTAAAATTTAACTTACCGTTGATTCGTTGTTCTATATTTTCAAATTCGACAGCATCTTCTCCAACGAACTCTCCTTCAGGAACAACACCTTCATCTTCAGGAAACCCTTCAGGTACAGACACTGAAACGAACACCGTGCCATCAACGGATAACGGTTCATCGGATGCAACCTCAACAAGATTCGCAAGCATTCCTATCGTATTTTCGCTACTTGTTGTCGCCTATACTATGGTTTAAACTACTACATCCAACAACATTGTGTTACTTGTTTGTGATTTTCACTTGTTTTCCTTTGATTCTTACTTGTTCTTTCACAAACTCGTGAGTTTGTCGAGAAACGTGCTATGTTCGAAATTCTTTTACGGATATTATATTATTTTGGATAAATCTGATACAAATTATATATACAAAGAATCCCCTTCTTTTACAAAAATCTAGTAATTCCTGCAATCATATAAATCAGGTTTCATGTGTTAGTACGCATGAAACTGCAGTGATTATATATTTTTGGACTTTTTCTTTCACATACAAAACAGTCCAAATGGTTTAACATGTGAAACAACATTGCATAAACACTGTAACCAAAACTGGTTGTAAGTTTGTACGATTTATTGAGTTTGTAAATGATTATAAATCTATACACGAACTTTTGGGAAATGGGTGATCCCAATTTTTTTCGGTAAATCTCCTGATGTAGACGTCAGGATTCGAACCCGAGTTGATTTTAATCCCCTTGTTCTTTATATCCACCACGCCACCACCCTTGTGGTTACAGGAATTCTAACAACTAAAGTGGATGCAAACAAGTTGCTGAATCACGTAGCTGTGTTGTCTGATTTTTGTCTCCAAACTACAATAGATTTCTCTGTATGTTACAAATCTACACGTAGGGTATGAAATATTTATGTACGTCGTCTTGCTATTTTGCAAATTTTGTGTTTCGAATAAAGAATCCCGTAACCCTAAATCCTTAATCTAAGAACCCAAACTCAATCAATATATTGTAAGTGCATATAGATAACTAATAGTAATACACAATGGATGAATTGATCCTATCCATTGGATTAGATCTAATGTCTAATGTTAATTGGATCAGATAAAATGACAAAATCCAACATCCAATGAATGATTGAATCAAATCGGATTCACCTAAATCAATGAGGTTTCAAACGATGAACACCCCTAAATGTAACAGTACAAATATTAACATCAGATCTACGGTTTAGTTTCATATATTAATCCTTTATTTATTGTCAGTTGAGCTTTGTACTTTTTGGCTCGTTGTGGTGTGGTGACCAAGGCCCTGTTTGTTTTTACCTAAAAAACACTTAATACCCTCTTATGTCTGAATCGGTCAGACCTTAGGGTATTAAGTGTGTTTGTTTTTTTTTTTCCAATTAAGAGCTTAAAATCTCTGATTATGTCTGAATTATTTAGAGGTAACATTTTCACTTAAAACCTCTTAATTGCTTTTAGAGCTTCCAATGCTTGCAAAGAAAGCCTAGATTTCAATTATTCAGATTTCAGATTTCAGACGTAAAAACAAACAGTCTGACTGATTCAGATTTCAGACTTCAGCAGCACCTCTTAAAATTCATAAGTGAATTCAGACTTCAGACTTAAGCACCTCTTAAAAAACAAACGCCACCCAAGTCTTTTACATTTCAGTTTTTTCGGGTGTGGTTTTACGCCTAAACTTTGTATTTCTTTTATTGGTTTTATAAATTTGTCTGGTTTCCTTTAAAAAGAAATGGTCAATAACGAAACCATATTTGTAACAATATATTGTCTATACAAGTGTTGGTAATTTATATCGTCTATTTATTATATAAAAATGGAAAATATTACGAGGGAAACACGTCTTGACAAAAATAATACGTAGTATAACGAAAAATAATATCCATAAAAGATACAAATAAAACGTCACCCGTAAATATAACGTTGATGAAACCAACATCAGTAATATGGTCAAAATTAAATGGTAAATTCTTTTTTTTTTTTTGGAAAAAGTAAAACCCATGGTAAAAAAATATATAGTGACCGATTAATAACTAATTATGGAGATCCACACAAATATTTACTGTTGAATACAATATTTTTGCATTAGATGTTGATCCATTAATGGCGGTAGAGTAAGAAAAAATTTACCCTATGAAGAAACAAAGATTTACCCAAAAAAAAACCCCAAATCTTTCCTCCATTATACCCATAAAAATCAGAGATTTGATCGTAATACAAAGGGCAAAAGAGTAATTTCACACACGGTAATCATCATTCTCAATTCTCATCAACAAGGCTAAAAATCGAAATTATAGAAACCCCCATTTTCATAAATTAAAACAAACCCTTATTTGCATTAAAAAGCCTTCTTTCGTATTCATATTCATATATGAATATTCATATTCATTTCCAAAGAATACTATTAATTTGCCTGCAAATTCTGCCCTGTCACTGGTTGGTAAGTGTATATTTTTTCCCCTCATTTATTATTTCATCTCTGTCTTTTAACTGTTCTTTTGTATTTTTCTCATTAATTATAGCAAAAAGAAAAAAAAAATCAAATCTTCGTTAGAGACAAATTTTTTTTAACCCCATTACTGTTCGTTAATCTTTTCGCGACTTGGGTTCTTGTTTATTTAAGTTTTCTTTAATTTATGGCTACTTTTAGTTTCTCAATTTGGGTATCAAGAACAGATGATGAATTCTATATCTGTGTGTATATATATATGTATATGTATATATGTGTGTGTGTATGCATAGATATTGGATTAGAAGCAGAGATCTGGAGTTCCATTGATGAGCAATTGAATCTTGTAACCCTAAATTATGAAAATGTAGATGGGTATAATAGGGTGTTGTACTTCTGATATTTATTTTGCATTGTATAGATAGATATATGTTATGTTGCTATATATAATCTCTATAACCCAAAGTTTTAGATGTAATATCTTGGAATGTCAGAAAAAGATCTTGTAGGTAGGTTAAGTCTGCAAACCCCATTTACAGAAACTAAAGGGTTTTTTGAATTTTTAGTTGGGTGTTGCTGTATGACTCTCTGTATACCAGAATCAGGTTAAATCATGTACTGAAAATGTAAAAAGTAAGTCTTGATGCTATTGTGCGTGAAGAAAATTAGGAGGTAGGGATGTATTTAGACCACTCCTTTTTAGTTTATGGGTGTTTGGCATATGCATGCCTATTTATATTAGAATCGGGTTAAATCATGTATTGAAAATATAAAAAGGTTAAAAAGATCTGAGTTTCGGTGTACTAAGAGGCTGTACGGTTCGTTTTCTGTTAAGACCTGTATGGATATAGTTGTCTGTATTGATATAGTTGTTTGTATATTAACAGACAAGTTGTTGTTCGGTTGTTGTACTGAATAAATTCTTGATATTGTAAAGAAATCCATGGCTATGATAGCTACTATGTTGTGCTGCTGCTGCTGCTGCTACATCAGTCCTAAATTTGGGCTATGAATGTTTACCTTTGATGATAGATACAGAAACTATACCTATAATGTCCTGCTGCTCATTGTTGTTCTTTCCAAGATCATTTATGGTGATTAAAACTTTTTAAGTGGACCTTTAATGGTGTAAAAACAAAGTGAGTATGATTTAAGTGCCTTTTTTCTTTCATTTCTGTGGTTAATTTCACCTGTAAATGCTTCTGTTTTGATCAATTGGCAAAGGGGTGGAGCGACTTTACTCAAATACACAAGAGGTTCAAGTTCGAATCCGGGTTTGAACCCCTCTACCAGCCTCTGCCACTGAGTCAGCTCTGAAATGCATCATTGCATGTGGTTTCTAGCCACCGAGTCAGCTCTGAAATGCCTCCTTAGATGTGATTTCTAGGGGGCAGGATACCATGATTGAAGTAAGTTGAGCATGTTGTTTGATTCGGTTTCTTGTTCTTTATATGGTTTCAGTCGTAAGATAGCAGGCTGAAAAGGGTTGTTCCGTGGCGGCAAGTGGTGACCGGAAAGTGCAATGGCTGCGTGTTAATCTACAGAAAACCGAAGCATGATCCCAGTCGAAGAAAAGGCGATGCAGTATTATCTGTATCCGCCTCCGATCGCTAGATACGAAGATGTTATAGCTAATCCTAAACTCTTCATGGATACTCTTGGCAACTTCCATGCTGCCATGGGGACTAAATTCATGTAAGACTCTTCTCTTAAGCCTAATAAATGGAAATTGTTAACCAAAAGGGGGGTGGTGCCTGATTGGGTTGAGCTTGGCTCCAAAGGTCAAAAGTACCGGGAGGTCCTAGGTTCAAATCCAAGGATGAATAAAAATCCCTTTGTGACCACGGAGGTTCAAATGCGGTGACTCCGGGCTATCTGTAAAGCAGGTGGTCGTCCTGGTTTAGTCGGCTCGCATAGCGGGTTGGATATCCAGGTTAATAAAAAAAATAGAAATTTTAGCTAAATAAGAAATTATATATATATTGCCAAATTGGATTTCTTTGCTCCATGATTGTATGCATAAAAAGGGTAATTTAGGAAAATAACTATTACATGTTTTTTTAAATGCATGATGTTTTAACAGATTTTGAGGCATTCTTGTTCTTGTGTTATAAAGAAACATTCTTCCGTTGGTAGAGACGTTCTTAGAGAATTAAAAAAAGGCCAAGTCACATGTGATTTACATGCTATTTCGAAACACTGGAACACGGTCAATGCAAGGGTGAGCGGGCGACCTGACCTACGACCTGAATCGCATGTGATTTTACACGTGATTTTAGTGTAAAATCACATGTGATTAGGCCGTTTTCATAGTCTTATATGAACCTGACTATATATATATAACTATTTTAACGATTTAGTATATCACAAATCCCTTTTTCGGGGTCATTGACACCCACATTTGTACTTGCATGATTAGGCATGGTAACCCATTTCCCCCCCCCTTTTCTGTTCAACGTACCCGTTCACCTGTAGCTTGTTATCTTGTTTCTTTTAATATATATTTTACACACCGAGGGGATTACGGAAACAATCTCTCTACCCCAAGGGGCAGAGAAAAGGTCTACGTACATTATAACTTCCAGCACCTACCTACGGATGGGATTTACTGGGTTTCTTTTGTTTAGTTATGGCTTCTCAGATATACTTTAATTCGTGTACATTGCTCGTTGTAGGATTCCCATCATCGGGGGCAAGGACCTTGACTTGCATCGCCTGTTCGTTGAAGTCACTTCGCGTGGGGGCATTAAGAGGGTATTTTGATCCTTCTTCGATTCATTTTTTAACAAGCTTGTTGTGAAAACATTTGATTTTTATAGTGGTTAGGACATGCAATGGGTTCTTCGGTTAAATGACCTTCCACATTTTATCTCATGATCATTGGCTATGAGTCGACGACACCATTGAACCTACGTTTTTCCATTTATGGTCGAAACAAATTTGCAGGTTCTTGAAGAGAAGAAGTGGAAGGAAGTGACGAATTCGTTCAGTTTTCCGCCTTCAGCTACAAACGCTTCTTTTATCTTACGGAAGTATTATATGTCGCTCATTCACCACTTCGAACAAGTCTATTACTTTAAGGCGAAAGCTTGGACTCCCGTTTCTACTGGTATGTGCTAATCCCCCAATTGATCCGCAATTTTTGAACTAGGCGTCGGTTCAAATAAGAAAGTTAAACATTCTAAGAAGGTAAGAAAGGACGGTTAAGGGAGGTTTATACGTTAATCATTGATAAAAATATGAAAAATCAATTTGAAGATTCATATATGAACGTATGTTAAAGATTCTTCATATGAATTCACATATGCATCTTCAAATTGGTTTTTTCAATGATTCACATGTGAATCTTCCCTTCTTATCTTCAGTCTCCCACTTTTGAGGTATATAATATTTTATATACGGAAAATATTCACGCACACTTTTCATCTTTTGATGAGGTTTGGACCCTTGAACCTTCTGGGAGGCTAAGCTGTACCAGTAACCCAGATACCATTGGGCCAATTACCCTTTGGTAAAGTAATTTTTTGAATGCTTTTGGATTAAGTTTTTCTTTAGATACTTGGCAGAGTACGAAGTCTACGTTAACTTCGACTTCCGGAATAAATAAAGCTGTGTTGCCGTTAGCTGAATTTCAAATGGATCCGATGAAGCAACGGAGGTCTCCGTCTGCAGAAACTCAAGTGACACCGATGAAGAGACAGAGGACGACTACTATAGAGGACTCGTTGCCTAAAGGTCGATTTTTTTCCTTTTTCTAGCTACATCCTTTTTACTGTCCTAATTGACTTTCCGACAGATTTAAGAACGCATTTGCCTAACAAAAGAATATCTCATTCTAACATTAAACAACCCTTGTGGGCATTTACAAGTCGTAGGGGTAAATTCGTCATTTTGCAAGGGAAATCGTCGCAGTTGAAGTCTCCTTTTTTCCTTCTCTTGTGGAATTTTTTGATAACAGATTGCTTAAAGTTGCTTACTTCATGTGTTAACCAAGTGTAATCGCCGGTGTAGGGGTAAAAAAGTCATTTTGCAGGGGATATATGATCTGTCCGCGTCTAGCCTCTCTTGGAGAGGGCGTGGTAGTTTAGACAGTAATCTAATGGGTCCCCCACATTCTCATGCTAACGTCGTTTGTGCATTTGCAGCTTCTCCAGAACCGTCAATCGGCTTCCCAGTGACGGGCATAATTGACGGAAAATTTGAAAGCGGGTATCTTTGTACCGTCATGATAGGCGGAGAGCCGCTACAAGGCATTCTTTATCAGTGCAATGGACACCCGTCGTACCAAACATCAGATCATCACGGTGTAGTAACTCAAGGCCAAACTACAAGCGGAAATGCAGCTCGACCATCAACGATGGTAAGGCGTAGGCGTAGGAAGAAATCCGAAATCAAAAAGAGGGATCCCGCTCATCCTAAGCCCAACCGAAGCGGCTATAACTTCTTTTTCGCTGAGCAGCATGCCAGGCTCAAACCACTTCATCCTGGAAAGGATAGAGACATCAGTAGAATGATCGGTGAACTTTGGAACAACTTAACTGATTCGAAAAAGGCGGTAAGCACTAAAATATACACGTTAAGATAAGATACTCAACAAGATATAGATCGGAAACCTGAGGCGAAGCCAAAGACCATTCCGTTAATTGGCCCACGAAGGTCGTACATTTCCGACCCATATCTTCTTTCGTATCCTACTATAAGGTCATGTTTGACAACCATAAACTGCATAAGCTACCTAATTTTCGAGCTTATTGAAAAAGTCCTATTTAATTATCATACTAACTTTTTGAAAAGCTTTTTCAACTTTATTTTTCCATTAATGCCCCTTAAATATAAATTTTAGAGTAAATTATGTTTTTGTCCCTGTTATTTGTTCAAAATTGCGACTTTCATCCTTGTGGTTTCAAAATTGAGGTTTTCAACCACAAGGGTTGTGCCTGATTGGTTTGAGCTTGGCTCCAAAGGTCAAAAGTATAAGGAGGTCTCAGGTTCAAATCCAAGGAGGAATAAAAATCCCCTTGTGGCCACGGAGGTTCAAATGCGGTGACTTCGGGCTATCTGCAAAGCAGTGGTCGCACTGGGATTAGTCGGCTCGCATAGCGGGTTGGATATCCAGGTTAATCAAAAAAAAAAATTGAGGTTTTCGTCCCCATGGGTTACACTTCATTGCTATTTTCGTCGGTAATTTCTACCTTTAAGTACGAGGGATGAAAACGTCAAAAAAAATTAAACCATTTGAACAAAAACAACAATAACTCGTTTGCAAGTTTTTACTGAACATAACTAGTTTATCAGCTAACAACTAATTTATAGCCTAGTTTCTAAAACATAGCCCGACAAGAAGTGTTTCGGGCTTGTTCTTTTCGTTTTGTTGCGATATGATGAATTGCTGGTTCGTTTTTGCTTCAGGTCTACCAAGAGAAAGCCATGAAAGATAAAGAACGATACAGGATCGAGATGGAGCATTACAGGGAGAGTTTAAGAACAGGACGGCTCGTAAGCAATGCCGTGCCGTTGCTCCAACAGCTGTTCAAACGAGACGTTAACATGATGGAGTTCAACGAGACCTTCGAAACGGATGGCGGAGTCTCTCCTCAAACTCCCGAAAACGAGCTTACTTCTGGTGACAAAAGCAGCTTCGAAGATGAAGGAAAAACCGCTGATACAGATTCGAATTTCGGATTACCGCTGGTTGGAGCTGAGATTGCGAGCATGCAGACGGTATCCGGTGGACTCATGAAGACGGTGATTGGAGGTGAAGAATTCCCGAGGGACATTGAAATGGATCCGAAAGAATCAAATCAGCAAGAATCCATATCTGTTCACAAGAATGAATCGAAACATGACGAAAAATCTCGTCACGATGAACCAACGATGCCGGTTACCATAGACGAAAACGAGAAAAAACACCAGTTTGCATCTATGCTCGAGAAAATGCCAGTTGAGTTCGATGGAACGGTTGAACACAGGACTTTAGCGGTCGAAGAATTAGAACAAGTAACGAGTGAAACTCAAGTTCAATATGAGCCCAAACCTCTCGACCCTATAGAATCAGCAGCTGTAAGCATGAATCTCGAGCAAGAACCCCATGTTTTGCAAGAAAACATTCCGAAGGTGATCGATGATGGGGCTCAAATTGAAGCAGCGCCTACTAATGAGGTCGAGCTACGGCCCCCCGAAGGAAGAGGGCTTGACTGAAAATGGTAACGATCCTTAGCCTAGTTACATTCGTTACAATCTATTTTTCCCCGAAAATAGTTAAAGATTTCGTATAACAGCGTAGATTTCGTAAACACAGATTGCTTTCGCAATTTTCATATGCTTCTCTTGTAGTAAAACTGTAGTCACAAGGATCGGTACCCAGTTAAAGATCATATAGAACGCGAAAAAGAGCATTCGAACATAACTCGGTTTTGTCCTAATCTTACGATCCTCGTTAGCGTATGCATTCCGAAGATGTCATCAAAACAGAAAATAAGAACATAATACGTATGAACTTCTGACAGATTTATGAACGTTTCGGCCTAAAAGAACACAAGAACGACTCAAAATCTGTGACACTGTCAAGGTCATTGTCATAATAATAATGAATCAGAAACAAGAGCATCCCAGATCATGTCCATATCTAAAGATGGCATCTTACTGAGCTGAACCCCTTCCGATGATATCGATTCTAACGAATTCTTGCTTTTATCGATGGTGATCTCGGGCCCGTCTTCAAACGGACCGTCATTTTCCGGCAAATCCACCTTCGGCAACGATGGTGCGACGATTGGCATTCGTTGTAACTTGGCTTGCAGTAGAGCTGCAGTGTTGCCATTGATTGAATTGGTCTTTAATTGGTTCTTTAGATTCGGGAAGTTTAAATGTGCGAAATCGCCTCTTAACATATACGCAGCTGTATCGTATGCAAACGCGGCTTCTTCGGCTGTTTTAAACGTCCCGAGCCAAACCCGCATCCGGTTTCTCGGCAATCGGATTTCCGCTACCCATTTTCCCCAATGCCGTTGCCTTACCCCTCTAAACTGCTTCTTACCTCCACGAACCGACATCCTTGTGTGCTTCGTTGGCCGAATCTTGGAATTGCTGAGCCTGCAGTCGCCGAAACTGTTAAAACCGTTGCTCGCTACGTCCTCATCGGGACTAACCCGATCAGTCCCTGGCTGCAGACTGATTGCAGGTTCCGTTTCACTCAGAACCAGGCTTCTGTTCACAAATCTTGAATCTTGTGGGAAATTTTCAAGAAAATTTAGAGGAAGAGAAGTAGCACCACCACCTCCAGCATCAACACCACCACCATCAGAGCTCAAAGACAACCCACCACCACCATTAATGGTGGCCCAGATGCTTGAATCGCCGGAAACATGATAACATGAAGGCTGCAATGATGATTCTTTGTGGTGGTTGGTTTCCATTTTAAGAAACCTTTGATCCTCCATTAAAGAGATGAAGTATAGATACATATGAAGGAGATGGTATATATAGTGAGTCACGGGAAAATTTACCTATTTAATAAATTAAGAAAATAACATGTGATTTTATACTAACATCTCGTGTAAAATCACATATGATTCACACGACCTTACATGTGACCTTGCCACATATGTGCATGCAAATAATTTATAAGCAATAATTCATCAAGGTGTATAATTTTTATATTTTATATTTTATATTTCGGACGAAAATATTAATGTGTGCTGCAAATAGACCAATTAACAATCAAGATATCAAGTTTGGAGTCCTTACCCTGTTCTTGTTGGGCATACAATAGACAAATTTACTAAACAAATTTTTTATAGTCTTTTTATAAAAAAAAAATTGTGGGTTTGTTGGTGGCCTAAGACCCCTACCGCCATGTACTGGATCCGGGAGTCATCTGCACGACATTTACATGTGCATACAAATAATTTATAAGCAATTTGCTCGGTATACGCATATTTATAACATGCATTAAAACCAAGAAACAACTTTATTACTTGTATACACATGTACATATAATCTCGGTTATCAAAATGTTTCTGGGTTTTTATTGTTGGGATTCATTAAATTAAGACGTTTGTGATGATTTATAAAGTAAAATCAGCCATTAAAGTAGATCTAGTTGATGAATTAGAAAACCGATAAATATGAACCCCCCTTTTACAACACAGTTCCACGCATGCATCGTGCTTCCCATTCATTGAAATTCTTTCATCCACCAATAGCATCTTGCCACCTCATCCATCTCCAAGAAGCTTTCTTGCTTTTTGCGTTAGCGCATATTAATGTATATTCTCGTGTGATCATAACTGCTTTGAATGGTTTACTAAACGTTTATTTAGGTAAGTGAATACTAAGTCTTATTATTTTATCGGATGAATATAGTAAGTATCAAGAATTTTATTTGGTAAAAGTGAGACAAAGACCAAGAGTCTTATCCGGTAAGTGAGGACGACAACTCTTATCACGGTAAGTGCTTACCAAATAAATTGTTGTATACGATACTGTTTTGGTGGACTAAAATTTTACCCGGTAAGTAACTGATAGTGTTAAATCTTACCGATAAGCACTTATCGAATAAGTGTTTGATAAACAGACTCTTTAAACAGAAACTTAAAAGTAATTTTAGTATTTAAATTTTTATTATTTATTGAAATAATATTAATTAATACTAAATTATAACAATTTTATATATTTAATATATAGTGATTAATTTATCATAAAATTATACTTAT